CTTTTTTGTGTTAGTCTCTTTCTTTTCACTTCCTCTTTCTTTCTGATGACATCATTCTTCCTCCTGTGTGATTTTTTTGTCCCACACTGACTCATCTTTGTTAAGTTCCATTCTCTGTATATACATACGGTAGTCCTGCATCGCCTTAATCAAGCTGCCAGTCTGTGTACTTCCACCTGCTGGGTGAGTTCTTTGTTAACTCGTTCTAGTTTCAAAGTGGATCCCTGGGGTTTCTCTTTTTGGACCGTCCTTTATTTTTGGACCTTGCTAATTATTAACGGGTCTTTCTCTTGTACTTCACCTACTATAATTTTCTCTCTTATGTACACTAAAAAAAAAAACATCACTTGTGTTATCCCAATAAAACACCTTACTACACCCAGCAGGAATATAAAGGAATACACGCTGCTTAGTGGGGTTCTTTGTGACCCTCAATCTCAACAAAGGAAGTGGAGACAGCAAACACAGCATGACTCACAGAACCACAACTACCACACTGAGGAAAAATTCATATAATAAATATAAAAAACGAGACTAAAGATGGACCAGATTAGCTTAAGAGGAGACGTTAGAGCAGGTATTTCTAAATAATTGAGTTCATAATTTGGAATTTCCAGCTGTAGCACAGTCAAGATGTCACATTCTTAGGCAAAAAAATACTGCCAACTTGTTCCACTGTGGACCCAGTTTAACAGTTTGTTAGTTATTATATTTTTGTCTTTTATATTTTGTGAAACTGAAACCATCTGTTTCACATTTTTTTAATATCGCAATGTGTCAACTCTTGATCAGTTTTAAAGGATTGCAGTGCAAGGTATTTTTTTAGCTACCATTTACAGGTGTACGTTAAACACGTCTCATGCCAGCAAGCTACTGTTAGTAAAAGAAGGCAGCACTGACTGAACTGTATCTGTTCAAAATATGAAAACCTGCTGAAAGCAGAAGTAGATTATTGTATTTTTAAATCTCCCAAACTTTAAAGTGCATATGTTGTATTGATACCAACACTATTTAGTGCAAGAACTTTGAAAGTTTTTCATTTTTCATGCCATGTTTGAATGCAGAATGAACTGTGAGACCAATACCGCTCGGTAAGTTTTGCTGTAGCAACAAATAAATTCAAACATGTACTACAGATTATGTAAGAAGCATTAAGTTTGATCATTATTCTTCATGAAGAAAACTAAAGGTGTTAGCCACTTTTCAAGCCTATGGAGAGTGACGGTTTAATACTAACCGACTGCAGAATTATCACTATAATGTAACAATTTCATACATCTATTTTCAAATTATCTACAGCGATTTTCATTATCATGATTTATTTCCTTAAGGTCTACATAAATTGTGTTCTCTGTCTGTTGAAATGATAAATGCATCAGAGCTCTCAGCTGTGTTGCAGTGAATACACACCAGGCTTTTTTGTAACTCCTGTGAGGAACTTCAATAATAACCCACCTGAGAGCTGCCACCCTGCCTCTGCTTTTGATTCAAACTCCCAAGAGCCCTTCAGTGAGTGGATCATTCAAACTAGACCACTTTGTCTTTTGTGTTTACTCAATAACATGCATTGTTCAAACATAGCAGAGTAGTGTGTGTTTTCCTATGATCCTAGAAAGTTTTGTATGGATTGTGTGAGATCAAGTAATGCTGTTTGTTTCACTCAGCTTATTATGGCTGATGATCTAACAAACTGCTCTTTAAACTCTTGTGTACCTTTAACCTCTTTATTGATAAAAAAAGGTTTTATTTTACATCAAATACTTTTCAGCTTTCTTATTAAGTGCA